TAAAAATTCAATATCTCAGCAACAAAGCATCATGGGGATGAACCAACTTAGGGTATTTCACTACTCACTGAGGTCTACAAGATACAAGTAGTCCGAGTTCAAATGCGATTAATAACCTCAAGAGGTTCCCTCGTTAGATAGTGCAACGGAATACAAAAATAATGGACAACAAGGAAGAAAAAAAGTAAATCTATTTCTTCTAGTCGTCATCCGTTTCACTACGTTGTACATATGTTGAATTTGTATATTAAAATTCTTTGTATTTGTTGATTGTGAACAAAAGGGTGATAGAATGGCGTTCCAAAAAACCTGCTGAACGGGCGTTTAAATCGATTTCGAACTAGTTACCTGGCCATCTGGAGTGCCTTAAAGCGTTCGAACGAGATTCTAGAACTGGACCCGTTCAAAGAGCTCTAGGGAGTTCAACTACCCATTCTAAATAGTCTGTTAACGTCCGTTCATCTGCTATTTCTCTATTACATTCTTCCGTCGAGATCAGGGAGAGTTCAACTACTCGTTCCAACGAGCAGTTTGAACGGACGTTCGAACCCCCGCTCATACGGTAGTTCCTGTTTCTCCTTTGTAAGGTATTTCAGGAAAGTTCAACCAGTCGTTTCACACAGCGTATTTTCCAAACAAAAAATGAGCGTCTTGAGAAGTTCTTCGTATATTGGAGGAAATTTTTTAATGTCACGTGACTGTAATAAATTGTAGGAATCTGTTATTGTTATTTATATGCAAATAACAAAAGTTTTTGGGACAAAAAGAAAGATTTTCCACATAGAATAAGACTATCAAACTAGACTAAATCGATGTAAAATATATCATAATTATGGTACGTTAGAAGAAAAGAAAACTGGAAATGCAATCTCATTCGATCTTTCTTTTAAATCGAAAACCATCACCGAATAATATCCTTTTTTAAGAAAACCGAGAAAGTGCTTGAAATAAGCCTATTTCTCAAATTGTCACCGTATCAGTAGAGTATTCACTAAATATTTTTATATCACTAGACTCGCCACATGGACAAAAATGAGTTATGTATCGGTTTAGAAAAATATTGCTTCGCTGTTGACAAAACTGATGTTTTTTTGAAACAGGTAGCAAAAGATAAATAAATGCACTCGTATTTTGCACCTTTTGCCGTCTAACTTCCATTTTTACTCTGGCAAAACCAATGTCATATTTGTAATCGTCAGTATGATTAATTGGCGTTGAGATATATATTTTTGTTTCTTTTTTGCTTTATAAACTTGACGTTGCAGTTCCTTTTCTATGAAATAGTTTATATAAATAACAGATTTGTATCTGTTATTTTTCATCAACTATATTTTCGTCATATTCATTAGTAAAATCAATAAAATATTTGTTAAAAGTAAGATTTTTGTATTTTATGTCTTGAAAAGAAAGAAGAAAAATGTCGTTGATTAACAAATTAGTACCAGTTACAGATGTATCTATTGACGAATTTTTGAATATATTCTATGAGTTAGAACGAATTCTATTAGATAATTCCGATTGTGATTTAATTATTCCATATATTGATCGACTCTCAACAAAAATTCATTCAGCTTATCAACGTATTAAAGATAAACAATTTTCAATATTACTTGATCTATTAACTAATCTAATCATTAAAGTAATGGATATTCTTGAAATTGTTGATCGATCACCCATTATTATTCCTCATTTAATTTCATTTGTACAATATTTACCTAAATTTGTTGAAAATATTGATTTACATGTTTTTTCATCAAACTCACTACTTGCTGAAAAAATACTTAATTTTTATTTAAAACTTCTTAATTGTACACGAATAAAAAATTATTTAGAATCTATTGAACAACGAGAAATACATGATCCATTATTCAACACTATATTAACAATAATTACTTGTTGTTTTTGTGATATTGAACAACTATCAATAAATGCTCTTGATGCATCAAAATCAACAATTGAATTATTTATTTCATTTATCGATCGAGATCATTTACAATCTGAAACAAGTGGCAATCTATTACGTTTATTAAAAGTTTTACATAAAAAATCCCATTTTACATCAGCATTTATTCAAATTGGTTATCCTCAAGCGTGTCTTCGATGGATTTCTCAACCAGATTTATCATACGATAATCAATATTATATTCTTAATATTTTACATA